CTCCCTCCCACCCTCCCTCCTTCCTCTGGATCTCTAGGTTGGCGAATGATTTATTCATATTTTTAAGATGTGCAATAAAAAAGCGCATGTGTTATCGTATATAGCATAAAGGAGGAGGGGGAAGAATTTTGGAGCAGAATTTAAGAGCTGAGAATTCAGTGTTCCCAGATCTCGCTATCAGGCCCACCCCCCACCCCCCTCTTCCCACGTTGTGAAGAGTGCCTGCCCCAGTTCTCTACGACACTCAGTTCAAGAGGAAGCATAATAATGAGAAAAAACTAAACAACTAACTGACCGCTAATCACATCCACTTTGTATTCTGACATAGCAAATGAAGTTAGCTTGATCCGATTTATGCATATCCCTTGCTATGCGAAAGTGCCAATCATCACTTTGTTTCCTAATGTCCCAAATCCTTATGCGCATATGCTTATTCATCCCCAACTGATGATAAAATTTATAAAGTGGCTCGAGGAGGACGGTATTGGTCACATGTAACAAGAACGAGAAGTTTGTGAATGAAATGTCGGTAATTTTCTTATGATGTTATATAGCAGGTTAAAAAGACTACTAGTATTTACCTCAGTATCATGACTGAGCAGGAATTTGAGCAAAACATGCCGCGTGTACTCAAAGTTTATGCCATCAATCTCATGTTGGGTGTTTGAGGTGTGCTTTGGGGAATGGCCGAGGGCATTTCTCGATGCAGACGTCGAAGTGGTCGGTTCGGTTGAAAGAGGCAAAATCGCCGGTGGACTGAAAGGCGGTTGTGGGGGCGGTGGTGGTGGAGCTGCGGTTGTCGTCTGTTGGGAAATTGCGTACAGTGGAGGAAGCGACAACTCATCAACCGATGTTAAAGGACCTGCACCAATTCTATTTCCACCTGATGGACCACTACAGTGTTAGAAAGGAAAGATAATTTAATGACAAATGTTTTATAAGACTCCGTATGAAATGTCCAAAGTAATGTTTTTTGGTAGGTCAATCATAAATAGATTAGAACACGAGAGACCGAAATATTGCAAAAAGAAAGTGAAGAAGAAGGAGTAGAGAATAGTCATTGAAATTTATTGATCACCAAAATGCCAATGCTTAAATCCACGTTTTAATCTGATATTCAAAATTTCAAATTGCAGAACTCAATCCATGGGTCTATATAGGGGGTAAGCTTTAGCAATGGGTCAGTTGATTAAATCAATTAGTTACATCACTTCGCAGCATTATCAAACGCCTCTAATAGTCAGTTGACTTACCTTTAGAAAAGCACATCTCACTCACCAAAGTTCATTTCAGATGATATTCGTTGGTAAACAAACGTTCTAGTAACCATGGTATTCCCCCATCCACATGCACTATTATTTACATCCTAAATAGCTGCACTCTCAATTATATAGCTAATCTATGCAAATGACATACCTGAGCAATTACCTCTAGCGCGCTCACACATACACACAATTTAATTAAGATCGTGGGTGGATACAAATAAGACCTCTGATTCATTCGAATGTAACAACTGCAATAGAGGAGACAGCAAAGAGAGTTTTGTAGAAAGCAACTACTCTGTAGATCAAGCGACGTGCATAATAGTCATTGCAAAGAAAATTGATAGAATGGAATGGAAATAGGCTTGTTCCACTTGCACTATCCGCAAATCCTATTCCATACCAACTAACAGTCAGGAACACTCCACCGAAACTTTTTCCCCCCAATTTCAGAAGAACTTTACTAACCTTTGATCAACGATAATCCGATTGAGTGGAATGAAATAACTTCTACTCGGCGAGATAAAGATTCGGGGATTTCGGATCTTAAGCTGCCGGTTGTCAGTGCATTAAGATGAAACGTTAATACGTGGAGAAGATGTCGCAATTAACGACTTAAGCCCTTATTAATAGGTGTCTTGGTATTTAAGAAAGGTAAAAGCGCTTCTGCAATCTATAATTAACCACCAGTTGCCAATTAGACTATGTACCTCTATCAGTGTGCTTTTGTTTTTTACAGTTCACCGCAAGACACGTCATATCATTAGCGAATAACACTTCAAAATTCAACAGGAATGGTCACCTTGAGAGGACTCTAAGTAAACTCTACCCCACATAAGTAAAATCTTAAACGAGGTCGACAAAACATCCTTCGGTCACAAGGACAGAGAAATGCGCCGAGATGGCAAAACCAACTTCTAGAATTCAATAACTGAGCAATGCTCTTAAGTTTGATCTTAGGGCCATCTAATCATAATGAAACGAGTTACTCTTGTCCTACTTATTAGAAAAAAATGAATTAGTGCTTTTTAACCAATTGTACAAAATGGGCCTTGATAAGAATAATAACATAGCTGTCATAGAAATACATATATAAACTGGAGGGGGGGGGGGGGG